ATAAATACCATTTCATAGAAAGCCTAAGACAACAATGCTGATAGACATGTGCAGATAGATTTTAACACCTGAAGCCAATCCTGAAATTGAGCAGACCATGTTTTATTACTTTCACATTAACATTTAAGTTTAATATTTTCTGTTTGCTCCACTTAATTATGCCTAAAGCAAGTAACTCACTCCGCGCATGTCGCCAACGTCATTAAATTCAGACTGAATATTCCATAATATTTCACATTTGCAATTAATTTACACTCATTTACTGAATAAAGCAAAGATATAGTAAGTAACCACACGGTGAATATTTTCGGGGATTCCGGTTATTTTCAAATTTAGTAGGCAGTTTAGATTATTTTATTATTACTAGATTATTTTTTGGTTAACTAAATTTTAAACATCGTTAAGGAAAAAAAAGCTCTTTACCCTTCTCTAAAAACGCATACTTTGATATTTAATTATACTAATGTTTAATTATACATATAAACTTAAGTGCCTTTTTTTTTTTTTTGGTAATGTACCTTTACTGTTATTAACATAGTTTCATACTTTATTATTATCATTATAGATTTATTGCATTATGTATAATTAATATTTTCACTGTATGTTTATTAATATTGTACATTTATTGCTCATTTATTATATATTTATACTTATTATTATTGTATATTGCTATTATAACACAAACATTATTAATCTCAGACTTAGTATATTATTATATATTTATTATTTTTATTATACACTGTACAAAACTGGCGTTATTCTTCTGGATGATGATTGTTAAACTTAGAACAATATGTTTCTAACTAAGTTTTAAAATGCAATACCTTTCAAAAAGTGGTAAATTATTCAAAATTTCCAACGTTTTTGGCAAAATGGCTTTTAGGATAGTGGCTCTCCGATTTTCAGTTTTTCCGGTATGCTTTAAAAGTAGAGCCCCAAGAAAATATTTTTCACACAGCATCACTACAATTTGAAAAATTAAGATTCGGAAATAGTTGTCTTAAAATATTAAATGTATACCATGCCTCTAAAAGTCTTTATTCGGTATTTATTTGCGCGACCGTTGGTCGTGGACATATACTTCCAATTACAGAAGTGTTTCAATTGAGGCAAATATTCACGTTTGACAATTTTTTTAATTTTAAAAGATCAGTTTCGTAAACTGTAAGAAACTTAACTTTTTAAATGTCTCTTCTCGATTCCTACATTTACATTTATGAAAATGTAATATTGACTATAAAATGAAAGCCCAAAAATGTAATTCCAGTACCGTAAAAATTAGCCGAGACATTTTATTTTAAAGTTAGAACTTCAGTGGCCGTTGTTGAAGTGAAACAGCACGATGTTTGCATTTGTACGTAACTAAAAGTAAAATGTCAGTTTGGGAAAGGTTTCTGATGTTAACAGATTAAGAAACGTGCGTTTCTATGCATATAGGTATTGCCCCAGTTACTCGGGAAACTGATGTATATCTCAATTATTATTGTATTTACTAAACATAAAAATAAACGACCCCATACATCATATCTGAATCCATATATCGTATCAATCCAATGAATAAAGTGCAATACCACACAAACATAAAGAAAGGTTAAGGAAACGTATAACAGGAGATTATACTTAAAATAAAATATGCATGATATAGGCTACGACGGTAACAACTCGCAAGGAATATTTATATTTGATATAAGAAAGAGACACTTATTGATTTCAGATAAATTCTCAGCGAATACTTTTGGGGCAAAATATCGATATCATGCGTGCATGTCTTGTATAATATTCATTTACGCGATAGAAGTTGATAAACCTCTATTCGTAGAATTCTATACGGACGAATTACATCTTTATGAGAAGAGTAATGTATTTTAACTTGTATAACATTGTTCAATGTGGAATATAAATAATCAAAAATCTTTCTGTTTCAGTGAATAAAAAAAATAAAAACTTAAGTCGAGAAAAAAATTGCCTCTTTCGGAAAAAAACAGATTACCCTTTTTGTCAATAAATTGTTACAATTTATGCAACAAAGTTTCCTACAAACTGTGTATATCAATGAAATAATAGAATGAAGACATTACGTACAAAAATGAATTTAAAGTCGAGTAACACAAAAGTAACACAAATTGTTTTTTTTTATAATTATGTTAATTTTCAAAAACAGTTGTCATGGAAATAAAAAGATGAGTTGATGAATAAATAAATAACGGTAAATAAAAAGACGAGTAAAGATAATAATTAAAAAGACGAGTTGGAAATAAAAAGACGAGTCAAGGAATATTAAAACGTAACTTAATTAAAATGAGAAACTAAATATAAATTAAATATATTTTGCATATTATACAAAAACAAAAGTTGACTTAAAAGCAAGCAAACTATAAATAAAATCTGTTTATTACTCAATGTAACGTATGACACATTCTGATCAGTATATTTAACATTTAAGAAGAATAAAATGAAAATGATATTTTTTAATATTTTAAGGGGTAATCTAAACAATGCACGTTTTATGGCTCAAGAATATTATAAACATCTTATTGTCACCAATTTTCACAAAGGTGACGGCATCTTTTTTATGTTGACAATCACTCGCCAGGGTATAAGGTAGCTCTAACATAATAACACCAATATGCCGGTATATTATGAAAATCGGTATCATGAAGAAAGCAATCCTCATCAAGGCTGCCAAGACACCCATGCGACTTGGTGAACAGTTGCCATTAAGGTTTCGGCACCTTTATAACATTTCATGAAATCGTGCTAGTGACGGAACATAAAAATTCCTTGCTTTATGCAACGGAGTAAAAAATAAGATTCAATAATTTGAATCTGCAATAAGCTATTGACGACTAGACATTTTTAGAATAGTAATTCCGTTACCTTAAACAGCATTATATCTAATATATATGTAACGTACACAATAAGGTATAATCCCTACAGATACTCCATTGCACATCCAAATTTAGTTGTATGTTTGTTTTTGTTATTTTGTTTTATTAAAAGTGTGATCGAGTGACTATTTCAAGCTTTTTTACAAAAATTAATTTGCATTTTGTATTTTTATGCAAGGTACAATCTTTCATTATTAGTGTTTCGTAAAACTCAATGCATCAGACAATAAGTATTATTATGCACACACCCCTTTTTTCTAATAATAAATTTACAGCAAAATTTCTTTTTTTTTACTTTTCACTAGAATATAAAAAGTTAAACATAATTTTATGCGTGGGTATATAAGAGTTATACTATTTGTTTAAAGACGAGCTGGATATGCGTAGCATTATAAATCTGATATCACCTTATATGGGTAGCCGGTATGAATCTTAAGTTCTAACAATCACTCTTTTACCTGAGGAATATCATATATATCTTATACATATCCTGAAATTATTTTCAATAAATTTCGTGAGTTTTTATGTAAAAGAAAATAATTAATCATGATGTGATTAATAATTTCTTTTGCATAAAATTAATCACTGATGTGAATTATTAATCATTTTTATAAATAAAAGATAAATTAAAATAAAGGTGTTTATGAAAGCTTTTTTGACACTGTTGGACTGAATATAACTAGTTAAACATAAAATTATCACAGGTTCGCCTTAGAGTTTACCTGAATGAACCCTTATAAGTAATTAAAGTAGATGCGTAATATACATCTTTAAACTTTATGTAGATAAATATATATTGAATTTTCTTGCGTAAGGTCTTGAAAAATATAAAAGAGACATTAACAAGCATATCCCTAAAATAATTAAATATAGATGAAGTAACTTGCAAATCTTGAGTTTACTACCGTTTGGAAGCTTGTATAGGACTATAAATGCAACTAGAAAAAGCCACAGCGTTAAATACATTCTCTATAATTCACTTTGTCAGAAATAGGAATTTAAGAAAGGATTTTGATCAAAGTTAACCAACAATAGAAAACAAACAGCGTTCCGATAAAAATAGACAGTAATTAGACAAAGAGTCTTTAGACAAGCACATAAAATAAAACCTTTATAAATATTTCATTTGTTCAGCATTTTTGAAATGTGTAAAAAATTACGTGTTTCTCAATCATGCACATAATGAATTAATTTTATTCTTTAAGAAACGTTTTATTTGCTTTTGTTAAAGTTACTATTCAAAAGTTATTTTTTAAAGAGTTTATTGCTTAATGAAATGGTTTTCACTAAAATAATCGCTAATAAATATATTTATACTTATCTGCTTGATAAAAATACTTGCACCAGACTAACAAAGAGAGTTCTTTTTTAACCCTGTAAGTCTTCTTTCTATTCTAAGATCTATATTTCTTTAATGAACAATTACAATACACCTTTGTCATGAAAATAAATATCATGTATGTTACTGATCACATAAATCTTAATAAATCGCATAGTTTTATTCGGTAAGACATATCGGAAAATTAAATGAACCAAATTTTATAATTTATGTTTATGTGTAAGTAGTAGTTTCAGCAGCAAATATGAAGAAAACGAAATGCTAGATGTTGGTAAAATCACATGTAATTTCTAAATATTGCTTTATAAATGCTGATTTAATTTTCATCTTTTGAATGAAATTGTAATAAATAAGAGATCATTCGTTACTAGTACAATAGATCTACTAAAATTCAAGTAATAGTTGTTTCTTCAACAAATTGTTTTTCTAAAAATTCCGAAAAAGGATGTAGAGGAAAGTAAAGATTAGTTACATCGCGACAAGCAAAATACAAAGGTTATAAACTTCACATTGAAATAATAAGACTTCTCTTGCACATTGCATACGATATTAACAAAGTGAGATTGATCATTTTTTCAAGCAACATCACGTAAACATTATCAAAGAATAAACATTTAGAGTAAACATTAACTTCAAACTAAGAGAAAAAGTAAATTAGCAAAAATGACAGTGATAGTAAAAAAACCAATGCATACATTATATTAAACTATATAATACAGTTTTTATCCTCAGTAGTAAAATAAAAATGAGTTGATTGGAATTCATAAAGTAACTTACCCCAGTGTGGTCATTGTGACAATAGTGTACCAGAAGGCTGCAGGAATAGAGGTAAAAGTTGTTCCCTCGACATTTTTTTCTGCATAGAACATGACCGTGGCAAAGATGATGATGGCCATAGCCAGAGAAAACACCAGAAAACCAAGTTCAGAAGCACAACTCTTCAGTGTATACCCCAGAATCCTGAGCCCCTGAGAGTGGCGCGAAAATTTGAATATGCGGAAGACACGAAACACTCGTAGCGTAACGAACGCTCCAGAGACATCATCGTTGTCTTTGATACCGAGTCCTATATAGTAGGGAAGAATGGCAACCACATCAATGATGCACATCACGCTCCGCATAAATTTCCAGCGGTCAGGTGCCGCGTATAGCCTTAATAGGTATTCCGCTGTGAAGATCATGACGCAAGCAGTGTCCAGGCAGAAAAAGGCCACCTTGTAGTTGGAGCCGCAAGACCGACGTTCGCCAGTCGCGAGGTCCATCGCGCAGGGTAGCGTTTCTACCACGTTTGCCATGACCGACACTGCGATGAAGAAACCTGTAACATAATAGAAAACCAAGGCGGCCGTTCCCGTATGAGGGTTTTCGAATGCTCGCCACATTTTCATCCGCATAGAGCAGTGACTCAGATCCAGCTGGTTGTCCACTTCGGACATGCGGTCGTCCATGAGGCGCTCAGCATTTTCGCGTTTCCGATCGCGGTAGTCCTCATAACAACAGTCTCCGATCACATCTGGTATGATGCCAAAGAAAGCCAGTTCATCATCGTAAGACAATAGGCACTCGTGCTTCGGGTAGTGAAGTTTTCCCGTTCTGTAGTAATTGAGAATGTGTCGAAAAATGTCCGGATCCCTATCAAAGAAATATTCCTTGGATTCCTCGTCGTAGAAAAATTCACGCTCATTTGAACCTAACAGCGTGTCTGGATACTTCTCTACCGTGTTGCGCCATGTCTCAAATCTCCGACCGCTCACATTAATGACAAATTTTTCGTCTTCTTTTTTTCGCTGTTCTTTAGTGATAGGGGGCGCCGGCAGGGGATTGTTTGCAATGGGAACCCAACCGATGGCTGCTGCCCTAGCAAAAGGTAACCACGCAGCCACCGAAGCCATGGTATTTGGTTTTAAGTTCTTGAGTTTTATAAACTAATTCAATTGTCAGTCGCGGAACTGGATCCTAAACGCAAAAGCACGTTGTTGGAACCGCGCCAACGAGTGCGCGTTTTTTGCCATATGACGCCGAATGTCACCAACGAGCACAAACACATCGCACTCGAGTCAGCAACAGGCCGTCGTGGCAATGTTTACCTTCGCAGCACGGCATGGGCATCGATGCATCTTTTCTATAATGTTCGCATCCATGGTGTTCGTTCGCGTGACTTGTTGCGCGTTGAGGAATCCCGTAGCACCCAAGCGAGTGAGAGAATTGCATACACAACAACAAAAAGCGGAAGCGCTGATGGCGCTACACGTCCAACAACGCACTAAGCAGTGGCTGGCGGAAGCAACAGTCCGTACTTTGTAGCGTGGAATGAAGTGGTCAATCTTTCTGTCATCTAGAGGAGATGCTCTCACCTCCTAGGGAGACGAGGGGGCGATACACGTGATTGGCTGACGACCTTCCCCCGGTACAAGGGCGGAGAGGGAACTATTACCCTCATTGTGAGAAGTGATACAGCGAGCACCTCAGCCAGCAGGAAGCCATCTTTGTCATCATCTGAGAGACAGAGAGAGAGCAACTCGCGGTTCCACGAGAGAAGCTCTAACGCATGCGCATCCAAGCATCTGCAACAACGCTCGGCATCCGATGGCGTTCCCATCCTGGCGTTGCCTTGGAGACATTGTGACGTCATCTCGCGCTCTCCCGACCAGGTAAGAAAACTCCAATCTGAAAAACTCCGCCATTCTTGGCCCTGAAGGGGTAGAACTTGGCAGTGTTCATCGTAGAAGAGAATATAAAGAAAAGAATACGATTCGAAACTAGAAGGATTTTTTTTTCTAATGCCAACTCTTCAAGGGGAGCAAATTAAGTACTTTGAACTGATCTATAAATTTTATTTCACAGTATATTTCCGTTGCTATTAAGTAGAATTAATTAAATAATATTTTTTTTATCGTAAACAATTTTAATGTTTTTCATTTTATTAGTACACATTATTTTTTTAATTAGAAAGTTGAATGTATGCTTCAATTTAATTCGCTGTGATGAATAAACATTTGAAAAATCAAATGGATCATCCTAATTTGCAAAATATTAATGAAACAAATGAAGAACAAAGTTTTCGCAAATATTTTCCTGAGATTTTTAAACTTATCTATTATTTTGAAAATTTTGAATTATTTATAAACTATAAATGTAGCAACTTTGCGATATAAATATCTCTCAGTACTGACATATAAATTTATAAAATTAAAAATGAATGATTTACGTGATTTTTTATATTTTTATTTACTATGTCTAATGTTAAAAAGAAAGTTATGCAAATTATTTTTGCTCTTTACTTTAGAATATAAAAAACATTATCATAATTTAATTGTTAGTAGTTTTTTAGTCAAGATTTAGATGTATATTTACAGGCGCATAAACTTAGCAATATATCTTGAAAAATCAAATGCGCTGAAATTATATTATTCATATTAGTAGTTTACTGAGCGTTTTCTAGAATTCCTCTTGAAAATATGTGTTATTTGTTATCAAAGTGTTATTTATTGTCAAAGTTGCTGAAAGTTTTCTGGTAAGTATAACATATGAAACATTTTAATAAAACCGTTTATTTTCCTGATAACTATTCCATAATTTCATATTTTTACAGTTCTCTTAACATTAATAATTTATGCACTTTTTAAAACATACTATAAGGTATTTCTCCCGTCTTCCTGGCGTGCCTACGTGATGTAGTGATTCTGCACGCTGGGCTGGTATTCCAGAGGTCTGCGGTTCGAGTCCCGGCGAAGGCGTTGCAAATTTTTATCTTGCCTGCTTCCAAAAATACCTAATGTCTCTACACTACATATTTTTAATTTAAGAAGTTGCTAAAATAAAAATTAGGGAGTAGATTTATTGCGAATTAGTTAACTGGTGTAGTGTACATATTTATGGTTCTTACGGAAGGACATGATTTAAGTTCAACAAATAAATCTAGATGAGAGAAAAGAAACAGCCATACATTTTCACATTCATTTTTCATTATAAAATAACATTATAGTTTGAAACAGAAGATAAAGCTCTTTAGAAAATAAAAAAAAATTAATCTTAAAAAAATTAATCAGTATGGATTACTTCCAAATGACCGGCTAAAGATTTATTGCACACATTTCTAATTTGTTGTGTAATATATATTTCTGAATTATAATCTTATGTTCCCGAGAGAAAAAAGAATGCATTCTCAACATCATTTTTTGAATGTTAAAAATGTAATATTTATCAGTATAATAAAGAAAGAAGTATGTTATTTTGCTATATTACTTTTTAATGATTTTAAGAATATTAAAATCGAGCAAACATAAAAATACACTGTAAGTACTCTGAAATATCTAGTAATAATAATCGAGTAATACAGTGTATTTTTATGTTTGCTCGTTTTTAGTTTATCTAAATTGCAATTAATTAGTACTTAGAATAAACAACACAATGCTTACAAATGCTGTTTTGAATTTCTTTTGTTATTTATGTTTTATCAGCCTTAAAACTTTCAATATTTTTAGTTCTTAATGTACATAAAAAATCTATGACATCCTAGACCTTTAAAAAGCATTTTTTAAACGGTTTGGTGGCTTTAGGTATTTGAAATCTAAATTAAAATAGTACACACATCATTTCTTTAATTAGAAAGTTGAAAATTAGCAAATGTATCCGATGCTAATCAAGTTTCTCGTTTTAGTCGTTTCAGAAATTTACTGTGGTTAAACAAGTTATAGATCATCTTTCATGTACAAATTATATAACTGAAAGTAACAATAATTATCATTTGTTTCCCATTTCATGTACTACGTGTCATGATGTATAATTAAATGAGAATCGTATAAGTGGCGCCCGAACTAAAAATGTGCTGGATGATAGTTCGTCAACACTAGGATTTGGCGACTGGGCCTTCTAATACCCAGTCGCCTTTTAAAATGGCGGGTATATAAGACATTTTCTTATTCCTTTCTGCATGTCTTCGTGCCGTAACTAGAAGCCCGCTCAACACGTGTTCGGAAGGTCCAGAATTCGAATTCCGGAGAGGACACTGGAAATTTTTTCGGTTTCCTGAAATCGGTAGAATCTAATGACTCTAAAAATCATTTACAAAAATGTTACAAACAGGCAAAACTTCTTAAAACGATAATCAGTTTCCTAAAATAAATATAATTTTTGCGAATGTGTGTTTGAGAAAGAAAGAAACACTATACAAAAATCTGTAAGTTTTCAGATTTTATATTACGCCTATAGGGGCGTATTTTTAACGTTTTGTGTGTTACATTTATTTATTAAATACCATCTTCTTCGCACTTAAACCATAAAATTCATTTCAACAGCAATATCGCAAAATAATTTTGAAATAAGCATATCTTTAGAATTTCCAATACACAGTCTCACGCGCGGGAGAGAGTGTTTTTTCGTACACTGTTGCCATAGCTCGCTTTGACATAGTTGAGTTTGTTAATAAAAAAATAGTTAAAGTTTTACAAAATATGAAATCGATAATAAAACAAATTCCAAATTAGGGCTTCCAGATGCCCATATTCGGTGGAGGATTATGAGTTTCAAAATTCGACGGCTCTAGGTACGCGTTGTTTTGTCACATTGCGAGAAACAAACATACATTTATGCAGATTCTTCATTATTTATTTTTTTAATATAACACAGATATATGATAATATTTGGTGACAACCATCTGAAAAGTGAAACGGACATTTAAAGTTTTCAACGCAAAATTCCAAAATGAAATTAATAGCTTTTTTGGGATAACGCCCTTTGGGCTAATAAATAAGCTTTAGAAGAAGTATATTTACTAAAAATATAATGATTTATCAAATTAATCGATCTGAAATAATTCCCGTTCTTTCTTTTTTTATCACAATTAAACATCATTAAACGAAATAGTTTTCGAAGACAAGATGTCCTCATTTTCTGAACTGTCTTTCTAGTATCTTAAATTTCATACTCTGCTCTCTCAAAAAGAAAAAAGTATTTATTTTTTCTTTAGCTTGTAGTTTCTTGAATTACCTCTATAAATTTTATAATATTAAAAAACTTCTTTCCGGAATTTCGCGCATCTGTTAGTGAAGGATAAATCAATGACTTTTTTTATTATTATTATTCAATAAAGTGAATTTTTTCTATCTTTCATAGCATTTTAAAACCAGAACGGCAGTTTTTTGGTGAAGTTTATACTTCATAATATGCTGTCTAGCGTAGCGTCTCACATTTCGAAAGTTTTAGCTATATTGTCGACATCTGCATTTAATTGCTCTTGTTTAGGTGCTATTTTCACGAAGTCTACTTATTAATCTTTTTTTATTTCAGTGGTTTTTGAATTAAAATGAATTTACATTAGACATATTAAGATGTGTGTAATTTTAACCATTATTTTAATTTGTGTTTTTTGTGATATTTTACGATATTTTACGTGGCGATAGGTTTTAAATTAAAATTTTAATTAGCAGTTCTGTTATGTTTTCCATTTAAAAAAGAAAACATGTTGTGGGGAAATCGTGTTGTAGTTAAGTATAGTTATGTGTTGTAGTTATGAAGGCTGAATGTTTGTAAATCAGTGTTATTTCTGTCAGTTATATCAACATGAAATCGCTTTGTGGTAATACTGTGTTATATGAAGAGAGATTGTGTGAATATAATATACTATGTGAAGGAAAATCCTGGATATTGAGAAGCGTCTGGAAGTAATACGATTGCTTTATCCATCCAAATAATATAAATTTATCAAGATTTTTGTAGATTGACTAGAGTTGATAATAAATATTGAGGAAAAGCTTGAATGGATGTCCTTGGAGATAAAAACTTTATTATCCGCGAAATATTTATGATAAATGCTGAATGGTAAAAATCTTAATAAGTTAATATGTATGTCATTAGAAATTCTCACGTCTCCTCAGATCCACTAGACAAACTAATAATTCGTGCACTGTTTTTAAACGGCACGAATTTTTTTCCGCCTGAAGAACCCAGTGATCCCCTATGAATAAGACTATCAAAATCACAGAATTTTCTTTATTTATCAACTTCATTGTCTAATTCGTACAGATACTCGAAAAAGCTACATTTATACTACACAATTCTACGTAATTATCATTTAACTTTAGTCTGTTATCCAGGTACACATCTGAATATTTAGTGATATTTACCATGATATTACTCGTTTATCATATAAAACACAGCTTTATGCTATGAAAATAATGCAAAAATAGGAGTAATTGTACATTTATACTACACAATTCTACGTAATTGTTCTTTAACCTTAGTCGGTAATCCAGGTACACACCTGAATATTTAGTGATGTTTACCAAGATATTACTCGTTTACCATATAAGAAACAGCGTTATGCTGTGAGAATAATGCAAAAATAGAAGTAATTCAAGATCTATGAATTGGAATTAAACTTCCATTATGTTGAAATACTTCTGTACTTTATCGATGCAAGTAATTTGTGCTTGAGTAAATAAATTTATAATTTGTCCAAATATGTAAGTTAACACTGAAAGATATTTATGAGTATAGCTGGAAATGGAATGGCATTGCAGTTTCGATATTATACATTTCATTTATTCTCGCTCTCTTTGTACAGCTGTCTTTGTATTTAATGGAAACTTAAATTATCTTAGCACGTTTCATGTCTTAGCATGCATGCCTGTGTACCACTTTTAATGTGAAAGGAACATTAAACGCAAAATGTGTGAGCATTTCGAATAGCAAATGCTACCATTTCGAATAACAAATTCTATTCGAAATGCTTTCAAGATTTCGAGCTATTGAAAGTATCTTTTTGAACTAGGGTAAGTAAATGCGGAGTGTAATTTTGGATTTATTCGTAATAATTGATAATTTGCATGCAAGTTTTATGGAATGTCATACATGCCATACCTGGAACGAAATCACATCATCCAAATGTCTAACTTTTTTTTTAATTTTGTAAATAGTCTTAATGGGTTTGAACTACACAAAACCAACCAACTAACCTTGCAAATGCTATCATTTGTTACAATATTTCAGTGTGAAATTGAATATGTATTTATTCACATTCTTAATAAAGTGAGTAGTCTGGGGGCTTATCGTCTGACTGCCAGTCTG